AGATTGTACAGCTCTTTCACTTGCACCTATTTCCCCTAGGGTGATATTGTGAAATTAATGTGTGGTTGAATCCCAAGTTTTCTTTTATGCTGTTTACAAGGCTATTGATGAACTCAGATCCATGATCACTTTGAAGCTTACGCATAGGTCCGAAGGTGCAAAGGACATCAAGGATTTCAGTGGCCACACTTATAGCAGATTTATCAGGTATAGCTCTTAAAATGTAGAACTTGGAAGCTATATCGATCATAACTAATAAATAATGGTTTCCCCTTATAGATGTTGTGAATGGTCCTGCTAGATCAATACCCCAACTGTCACCAGGAAGAGTAGCTAAGACAGGCCTTAATGGGTTATATCCTTTTTGTATGATGTTGTGGCGTTGACAAGGTACACATGCTTGTAATAATTCATTTGCATCTTTTTTTAAGTTTAGCCAGTAGATACCGTTTCTTTTTGATGCTTAGTAATATCGCTTCGACACCAAAGTGTCCTTTACTATGTTCATGTGACAATAGTTTCATACGTTCTTCTGTGTTGGAGGTGTAAAGTATTCACCACTCTCAACTTTTGGCAGTTCTTCTTGTACTTTGCGTGCAACTCTGCTTCTCATGATGGATTTATCCCCACCTAGTTCGTTTGACGGTTCATAATCGGTTTCAAAGAGACGAGATAAGGCATCCGGAAGGATATTGGCAATACCCGGCAAATGAACGATTTTAAAGTCGTATTGTAGAATGGTGTTCATCTATGACATCATCATGAGATTAGCAACGCGTTGAGTATGTAGGCAAGTTAAGGCTTTATGATCTGTATATAAGGTAAATGTAGAACCGGAGACGTATTTATGGAAGCGTTTTAGAGAGAAGACTAGAGCAAGCAATTCTCGTTTCGTGGCAGAATATTTTCGTTCACTTTTAGACAGGCTTTTTGCAATAAAAGATATGTACTTTATTTTACCATCAATTTCTTGATACAATACAGACCCAATTCCAGTGAGTGATGCATCACAACTTATAGAGAAGGGGGAGCATTCATGTCAGGATATGAGAGAACAGTATCATTTAAAAGAGCTTTTTTAAGATTGTCAAAAGCTTGTGGATGTTGATTAGTCCATAATTTGTCAAGTGATTTTGCATGGCGCAATGGGTCAAGAGGACTCATGATAGTAGATACATTCGGAATCAAAGTTCGAAAGTCGTTGATCAGTCCACAATAGCGCATAATATCTTTGCCATTTTTAGGTTTGGAAAATTCTAAAACATTGGCCAGCTTACGACGATCCATACTGATACCTTTGGGAGAGATATGAAAACCCAATAGATAAATCTCACTTTGGAAGAATCTACATTTATCAGGGTTTAATTTCAGGTTTACATCAGTTAGGCGTTGAATGACTTGTTTTATGTGTTGTTTATGTTCTTCAACTGTTTGACTTGCACATACAATATCATCTACGAAAAATCGTACAAAGGATAGCCCATCGATAGCGATGCTCATGGTTCTTTGGAATTGAGAACTGACATGCTTTATACCAAATACAGTACCTATGGGTTGATATTGAACACCTCGCCATGTGAAGCTCAGTTTGTGTGCATCTTTAGGATTTAATTTTAAAGAATTAAATGCAGATTTTAAGTCTAATGTTGAATATATAGAGGCACCTTTTAAATCTTCAAACAGATCACTGATGATAAGTAGAGGCATACGGTCGATTGTTTTTAAGAGACTATTGATATGTCTCGGGTCATGGCAGACTCGATATCCTTTTACTTCACCTTTAGCATCAGTTTTCCTTACCACGGTTAAGGGTGTATTCCATTCCGTATTGGCAGGCGCTTTCTTTATAATGCCATTATTTAATCATTCCTTTATTTATTCGTCAACAACTTCCATCATTTTTAAAGGAACAGGATATGGTTTCTTGTAGGCTGTCACATTTGAAAGAGTGTCTAGTGATACAACACTCTCTGGAATTGTGCAAAATGATCCTTTTGCAATATTTTGGTTGGCATTAATATATGGTTGAATATAATCCATAGCTGATTTAAATTCATCAGGTTCGCATGCAGGACAATTCTCTAATAGTTTGTTATCTGCTTCAATTGATTCGAGGAGTTCACTAGTGTTATTGTAGCGTCTTTCGGATTCCATCATTTGCCCAATAGAATCATCATCGTCAAAGTTCACAGGTAAACCATAAATGCCTAAACCCAAGGACGCCATATAGTCAGTGCCAATGCTGATATGATATATATCTTCATCATCATCGGTTGAATTCATAACTTCAAAAGTACGTTCAATGGTCTTATTATTACATGTTGTGCTTAATACACATGTTCCAATTCTTCTAATATAACTTTCTTTGTCAAATGCTCTTATATAGTATTCATATTTATTTGTTTTCGTAATTAGATCTTTATGTATGTGATCGATGAAATTTATATTGATTTTATGAGTTAAACAAAAATTATAGTCTACAGAACTAATCGAGGCACCTGTGTCCAAAAGTGAATGAGTTCTGATAGAGTTATTTATAAGAATAGGAAAGATTCATTAGTTGGTTTATTTTTAAAATCTCGTGTTATACTATCTTTTTTAGGGTAAGACTTACATGCAAGAGATAACCCCAGCAATCTTTTCTCATTCTCATCTTCTTCGTCTGAATTCAGATTGTCCGGGGTGTCGGGACCATGGTTTCTTTTTTTAACCATGCGTGAAATTCTTTGCTTTTTTCTTTGTAAAAAATCTTCACAACGATGACCACGATACCAAGGCTTATTACAGTATTTACATTGATTGACGTTATTGGGTGCCTTATTAGACTCGAAAGAATCTTTATTGACTGATCCTGTCAGAAACAGAACAAGAACAGAAAGAAGACTACTTGGTGACACGAGAGTCAGAGTAAAAATGATAAATAAAGAAGTTTATTTCAGAGAAGGGGGAGGGGTTAGGACTAAGATCCAGAATAACGTTTTTCTAATAAATAACTAGCATCTATTTATACTATTTCTTATACATGGGAAAAGCTACGATGGGTTTAAATTATAGATTAACAAGGGACTTTACGGAACAGATATCATGAGCAGATTATTTGACAAGGATGAGTAATTGAGATTCGACGAGTAATAGCAGGCTGGATTTAGTTGACATTGAATAATTAGATGGTTCGGGGAATATCTCTGATTTGACACGGGCGGGAAAACTGGATTGGGATATGAAGTAATAGATGATCGGAAAAAGGTTTACTAAGGTTGAGTCAGACAAGAGGCGGGAAATATATTGGAATACAGATTGGTGGTAGGTTTTACAAGGAATTCAGAAAGCGGGCAAGATATACAGATATGATTTTGGGTACAAGGTTTTACAGGGAGTTTGGTAGCGGACAAGGTATACTGATATTAGATTTTAGGGCAAGGTTTCACAAGGGTTTAAAATCAAGGCATGATCTAGGACATGATGAAATGAGTTCATGACAGATCCCGTGTAGTTGGAATGGTGTTTCAGAGAACGTTCATTTTCTTTGTTTTCACCAAAGCGGTCCATTAGGTAGATGCCCGAGTCGTTCGTAGCCGCAACAACAATGCCAAAGATTGACTCAACGTTATCCGGAAGCTTTGTACCATAGCGGGACGAGAGAGCAACAGACGATGGCTTACGCACCGTTTCCAAAAGCGAGCACCAAAACGAAAGAACCAAAGAAAGACCATCTTCAAGACCTGCTTGTCTTCTAAGCTTTTGGAACTTGGCAGCATATTCACGTACAGGCTCACCAGGGGACTGCTTCAGTTTTCAGACTTTAACCATCATCAAAAATTTACGATATGGCGTATCAAAATGATCCATCAGAATGTTCTCAGCTTGACTCCAATTCAGTTGTTTCTTCTTCAAAGCTTCAGCAAACCAAGATCTATTATCTTATTCATTGACATAGGGAGAAGACGTTCCCAGCTTTCATCCAACGAAAGACCATGAGCTTCAAGGACTGTCTTGAATTGCATGCAAAAATCATATACGGACTCGAAAATGTCAACATTTTTCTTCCAAATGACAGTATCTGTTCTTAATTGCAGATAAGGGAGAGAATCAGAAACATAGGTGGCATTCTTGGATGGTGCTGGTGGATTGACCGAGAGGAAAACGAGATATGCATCACGTGTAGCTATGAGTTCTGTCTCAACTTCTTTATAGACTACCGAGGCTTCCTTAGTGGCGGTTGAACTTGCATTCTCATTCTTGCACTTGATCCAGTGGCCATAGGCAAAATTATACTTGCGTTGAACGATTTCCAGATTTTCCTTGGCTGACTGGAGGATTTTCTTACTATCAATGGGATCCACTGCGTATTTGGATTTCATGGTGTCGTGATGAAGATTTTGAGGACCTTCCTCCATGACTACATCATCATCCTCAACAATAACCGAGTCAGCGTCTAAAGAGCGTGTTTCCGAGACTAAGAGAGGAGAGGAACCAGGAAGAGAGGAACCAGGAAGAGAGGGACGGTTGTTTTGAGACATGTTCAACAAAATTCAAAGTAAAAAATGTGGTGTTTTGGATAGTATAAATTCAGACAAAAGAAAATAAAACAAAAGTAGGAATACTTTGAGACTGTTGGTTTGCTATATTTCAGTTAAAAGAGAATTAGAGATTATCTTGTTTATGAGTCGAGGATATATATATATAAGATGTCTGAACTTAAAATATAAAATTATTGCATAATGGAATTGTACTAAATTAGTGCAGTGTCTTCTTACACTATTTTAGTCAAAGAAGTACATAGACTAAAGAGGTGTATTTGTTTTATAAAGTATTGATGCTGAGGTATTAATATTTTAGTGTTAGATGTATGATGCAAGTGTATCTAATGTTATTTTTATTATGGTTTTTATCAAGAAGTAAGTCAGATCATCACACAACACTTATCCATTCCGGACAATACCCTTTGGCCTTTCACTGAGTCCAATGGTGTTTTCAAAGGTACTAAAACCGGTATTGAAATGGGCACGACACTCAGGGATAATACTCTCAGCTTACCTCAACGATTTATTGGTCATCGGCAAGTCAGCGGCGGCAACGTTAAAGAACACGACCAAGGTACTACAAAAACTAACGAGTTTTGGTTTCTTAATCAACCACAAGAAATCACAACTAACTCCTGTTCAGTGTATTCAGCACCTAGGATTTCTGATCAACACGGACACCACGACACTAACGGTACCAACAGCCAATATACGAGACATACGACGAGCGGCCCAATAGCTACTGCATCAGTCATCAGTCAAGTTGACGGCTTTGACATCATTCGTAGGGAAGGCTCTAGCAACATCATTAGCAGTGTTTCCAGCACGTTTGCACACCCGTCAATTAATACAACAGGCCAATATATTGCGTCATTCGAAACGCCCATCCATTACACTGATACCTCCAGCCAAGCAGAATTTACTATGGTTGATTCAACACCTGCAGCAATGGAATTGTCATTCCTTCATCCCGTAGAAAAGTCACCACGAACTGTACACCGATGCGTCTATGACCGGATGGGGAATAGTAGATGGTACCAGCGTTATGAACGGTACGTGGCAGCCCGAAGATCAGCAAAAACATAAAAATTATCTCGAACTATTAGTAATTTATTTCATCGTCCACAACCCAAATTACCATGGGCAAGCAATTCAAATCTATTGCGCCAATTTAACCGTCGTGTCTTATATCAACCATTTTGGCGGAACTCGATCCCAACCGTTACTAGACTTAACACAGCGATTATAGCAGGAATGCTTGAAGACCAACACCCGTATCAAAGTGGACTACGTAGCAACGATGTTCAACCCCGCGGACACGCCATCACGCCAACAACTGGACCAAAAATTGAAGTGGAGCTTGACACCCACCATATTTCACCAATTAGACCAACTTTGGGGACGCCACACGATCGACCTCTTTGCTACTTGGCACAACAACAAATGCTTACAATTCGTGACCTGGAAATTTGACCAATTGGCAATAGCCACCAATGCAATGTCCATTCGTCGGACAGAATTCTAAAACCCATACCTTTGCCCGCCGTGGAATCTCATACCTCTAATTTTACAGAAGATACAAATGGACCATGTAAAGGAATGCACAATCATCACGCCGAACTGGATGGGAGCCATCTGGTATCCCCAATTGCAACAGTTATCTCGACAGCATCCACCAACTTTGATTCCGAGAGTTCAGGTTCTAGCGGCACCAGGCCAATCTCAATCGCTTTTGGTGAAGAACCAACACTGGCAGTTAATGGCATGGCCTGTGGTTCAATAGACTCCACTAAACAACACAGGACAAACGAGCCTTCAACTCTCAGTGAGGAATTCTCCTCTCTTATTTTCAACCCTCACCGAGTCACACTTAAACCAAAACGATACAATGGTACACAACAGCGGTTTTTTAGACTGGGGTAACCAACACAACCGTAATGTATTAGAATTCGTTAATGATATTGGTATCATTAACTATTTAGCATATGGCCGAGTACATCACAACTGGTCTTACGCCACTATTTTACAATACAAACAAGCAATCTTACAATTACATGAACAAACTCAACGTGATAGTATAACAACTAATCCTGCTTTCATTGAATTCTTTTCCGCTTTGAAAAGTAACGCTATTCTATTTTTTGATTTTCCTATGATCAATTTACAACCAGCTATAGATGTCATGCTTTCTTGGGGTGATAACTGCGACATGGCTCTTCTACAAATAACACAAAGACTTTGTTTTCTTTTCGGTATCACCGGCGTCTTACGTCCATCTGATATTGAACGCATCGACGATAGCAAGACTTTGGTGGTCAAAGACGCTCTCCGTTTGGTGGTTTTGGCACCTAAGGAAAAACGGGCTGGTAGGCCAATCGAAAAAGTAGTGAATATTTCTGCCCACTCAAACATTATGCTTTGTCCGGTTACGTAGTATACACAATACAAAAATCGCTTCGCTTCTCTCCCCCCAGTTATACGTTCACATGATCGACTTCCACACCTTTTATATACGGCATTGGTTCGCAACATTACCGACCACCACAAAGCAATCGGGTCTGAACGCATTAGCAAACAAATCACGTCCATCTTGTGTAGAGCTAGCACTACATTTACAGCTTCCACTTCCAGTCCTAAGACAATTAAGGCTTGGGCTATCGGTTCCACACGAGCCATTCTTGATGGCGCTAAACTGGATGATGTGCTCACCCATGGCTCCTGGGCATCTTCTTCGATCTTTGATACATACTACCGCTTGAATAGGGCCTCCGCCACCAACTTTACGGATCTTATTCTGTGAAGTAGAGTCGCTTTACTCTGTACACACAGCAAGAGCCTCCGACCTATTGGAGGATAATAGTTACTTAAGTTCGAGGCATAGCCGAAGAACTAAACTTATTATCCGAAGGGAGGAGACTTTTGTTGTCCCACCCTTATTTATTTATTTTATTTTTTTTTCTGCATCGATAAGGTTTATAATTACTACCAAATGATCATTTATTACTATAATTGTTTTTTCTGAATATTCGAATTATTTAAGAAAAGATGGTAACAAAACAAGAGTCTCCTCCCTTCGGATAATCGGTTTAGTTCTTCGGCTATGCCTCGAACTTAACACACCGACTGATGTTTCTGAATTTTAAAAAATCAAATATGGATTAAGGTTTGGTGCAGAAAACCTTCTAAATTAAGAATAGGCCAGTTTTTAAGCAGCCGACTGCAAACATTTACTTTTTTTTATTTCTGTTTACATTATACAAAAAAGGAATACAAACATATTTTTATGTGGAAATGTATTTTAAAAAAATAGCGTGTTTTATTATTGTAATAAGAGAGAAATGAATAAAATGGGGAAAAAATAGATATATCTATGTATATTTGCTTGTAATGGAGTTATGATTGCAGGATTTAAAGAAAAACAGCAGATAGAAGGAAAATCTTACCTGTAATTATAATCATACATTAGAATTAATAATAAAAAAAGCGAAAGAGGACATACCTTTATATATATTTATGAACAATAGACCTATGCTTACGCCAATAGACCACTAAAGAATGATAAATGTTATTACTCTTTTTATAAGGCGTATACTTTAAGACTTACAGTATATATAGTCTCATTATCTTAAACATAGGATCAACGATGGAATGGTGCATAAACCTTGACTGATAGCCTTGTTAAGGGTACGTTATCATGCTATATATTAAACATTGAGTGTTGGATAATGGTCTATCTATAATTTATACCTAGCTTTCGTTTAAAAAGTGTTGAAGAAAAAGAAAGAAGAAAATTCAACTATATCAATGGAAGCCTATTTTGGTGGCTACAAAAACCAAGTGCCTTCTGAAACATAAATAAAAAAAAACTGTAAATAAGAAATTTTCGGATGATCACAATTGTTGTTGTTTGTAGTTTGTAACTACAACTTTATTTTTTATTTGACCATCAAGTATTGGCTGAACTTTGAACTTTATTTTTTTTGATTCAAAAAACCTTCCAAATATGGATTTTTCTTAGTTGGTGTGAAGTAACTACTACCGATGATTTATATGTACCACACTTAACAAATAACTTGGAAAGTCTCAAGTCGCGTGACAAAGGAAAAGCTCGTGATTATGGGAATACATCTCATATCCAAGACAATGTGAATCATCTATTGACATCATCATCGGCCGATATAGGACCTATTCGTTCAACCAAATTAAACAGTATATCCGAAAGCTCGATGCATCCATTTTTTTTAGAAAAAGGAATACATCTATGTCGTCTAATGGATCAGAAATTGTATTTGGTTTAATGCGCCGGATGTTACATATCCTGATTCCATGAATAGTGATCATATTTCTTACGGTAAACTATAAGTCTTGTTTGAAAAAAAATTCCCTCTTTTTAACGCAGTATTTACAAATCAAGATTCCTCTCAAACTAACCCATCCAAAAAAAGAATAGATTCTCCGAATGATGCAAAAAAACAGTTAAATACATTGGTTCGTATACAAACAAATGGATATATCAAAGTTGTTTTAACCATATTCACTTGCAGGGTAAACGAGCAAAAATGAACTATCCAATACAGCTACAAAACGAAATCAATGATGTGGCACAACAGCAAGTTAAAAGGAAACCGGGCAGGCCAAGAAAACAAAGCGAAAGTTCCCAATTACCAGCTCCTGAAAAAAACTTAAGTGACGTAAAGAGAGGAAAAGGGAGATCATCTAAAAAGAGTGTGGATGCTGAGTACCCAGAGAAACCAGCAGGAATAAAGCGCTTTGGCAACAATTTAAATATGACTATATTTATTAAATAAAAATGTCTGACATTCACAGATTGCTTTTCATATATTAAAATATGCGAAGTGTAAATATGTATTTACAATTACATTACATAACTACCAAGTGCTACTCATTGAAACAGCTAATTTTATTCATCATAACAAACTTCGTTTTATTTCTTATTTGAGTATAATTAATTGTTTGGACATAACTTCTCATGATTGCAAAATGTGTGCAGTTCATTCTCTGGTATTGTTTTGATTTCCTATTGATGATGACACACTATCAAGCTTCACAATTTAAATAACTAAAATACATGCTTAATTTATTATTATCAATAAATTCATATCGATCTAGGAAGATTGAAATTAACTACGATATATATGGCCAACTTAAGGCTTTAAAATAATTTGATATGGTAATCACAGTAGTTCCCGGGTGCGCCGTCAAATTGTATGCATGTAAAAAATAAAAACAGTGCAAGTAATAACCTCACGTGAGTAAATTCAATCATTGAAAATGTAAGAAAGAACTATTTTCTACATACTGATACAGATACGTTTTGACTTTAGTTACTATGGTCTAAGCTTAATAATCCATCACAGATTTTGTGCGTTGTACGGGCAAAAGATATTCATAAAAACGCCCTCATATCAGAAATGTTTCCATTTTGATAAAGTTGTAATACTTTGGATACTGACGTTTAAAAACATACCTTCTTACATCAAACAGGATTTTTTTTTTTAATTTTTTACGAATAAAATTTATACAGGAAGATACTTGAGTACATTTTTTTTGTTACAAGCACAATTTTGTTTCTTAATTTGTTTCGCTAAATATAAAAGAATCAGCCTACCAATAATTAGAACATCACGTTAACGTACAAAGAAGCATTAATAGCATAAGTTCCTCTCTTCTTTTAACACTGTATTTATTTGTTTGACAAACGCTCACTGATTTTAACATTTTAAAGACATGGAGATTTTTAAAAAAAAGAGGCCTAATTTTTTTGACACGGTATTCTCTATTCATGCATGACATTATTAACAAAGCATAAAGCATAATGGAGAAAGTCAACTTCCTAAGTGCGCTTAAATTCTTCTTCTTAAAAAAAAAGCTTGCTCTTTTTGTCTGTATTAGCCATAACAAACGAACGGATAAATAAGCTAAGCACTGTTTTACTAATGTAAAATGTGATAGACCCAAGTGTGATTTAAAATTTTAACAAGTACGTTTGTGTGTTCAATGACACACGATTTTTTTTCCACGGAATATAATGTAAATACATTTCATTTGTTTTTAATTCTTGTAGTTACGTATCAGTAGTTATAGTTTTTGATCCTGGCTGAAAGACATAGTATAACATCTCTGTATTAGTATCAGAGGTAAAAAAAAACATTTAATGTTTCCACTTTTTATTTAGACATCGGCCTCCCTTCAAAGAGCATACTTTAAAAAAGCTAAATAAAATAAAATAAAATAAAATAATAAATAAAAAATAGAAAGATAGACAAGACTTGTTGATAATAGCATATTCAAATGTGAAGCCCACAATATAGAATGATCACTCATAATACAATGACACTTATTGGACGGAAATATGTTTTTCCTCAAGCTCTAGGTAACATTGCTTTGGAAACTTTGAAAAAATGTAGCACACACAATAATGAGTGAAAATAATATTTTTTTGGATATATCAACGAGAATATATGTTATTAATTATAAAAAAATTGTCGCATAGTTTTCACATTTTTTTTGAAAACACAGGAGCTATATTTCTCCATTTCTCGAAAAAATAAAAAATATTTTGTGTAATTGGGTCACAAAACGACAGAAAAGGTAATTTTTTTAGGCGGTATTTTTTACTTTAACTAATAATATGTTAACACCAGCTACTCCAGCAATCCAATGGACGAACACCGCCAGATTGTTTCACGTTTAAACACTACCAAAGTCATTTACTCCCTTCGAGATGAGGAAGAGGACGAAAGCTACGAAATGTTGAAGCAGCAGAGACTAGCAAGAAAAAGACGACTTTACCTTAAACAAAAAAAAGAGAATGACGAGGAGAAGTTGAACAAATGTAAAATAATTTTGCAGCAACGAATTGTACATAATGTTATCAATACCATTCAGATTATGAACTACGATGTCTTATTTTGTATTTATAACGGTGGTATCCAACATATGGAAGCTACTTTGGTCAGAAGGAGAAGTAATGATGGTAGAACGGAGAGACAATGGTGAACTATCGTGCATCCTAGCTTGACGGACGAACCTCTTCTCGACAGCAGTGGTACAGCAGTAAGAGAAAGTACGTTTAAGGAACACTATCGAGTTACCTTAAGTACATTCGAATTGCTTGTTAATGAGCTTAGCGAAACTGAACAGTACGCGAACCTTTCCGAGCGAGATACCACTTGGCCTGTGTGGAAGCAAGTTGCTGTTGTTATGTGGAGATTTTCCAACAGTCATTTTGGATATCGAATGGCGAAGGAACAGTTTGGTTGTAGTCACGGTAGCTATAACAATTTCACGGACAGGTTCATCGGCACTATGAGTACCGATAAAATGAACAGAGTGATTACATGGCCTACAACTGTTCAAAGAACTAGATCTATTGCGAATGGATTTGCAAAAGATACCCAGAAGGGACACCGAAGATTGGAAAAAGTCATTGGTGCTATCGATGGAAAACTTTTTTCGATCCATAAGCCTTCAAAGACCAATGACGGTGATAGGTATGCCGATCGTAAAGGTGGAATCAGTATGAGTCTTATGGCAGTTTGCGATGACCAGAAACGATTCATCAATATTTTAACAGGCTTACCAGGTAAGTTTACAAAATGGAGTGTGTACGTCTTACTTAATTATCATGATGTGTTTAGGCAGCTTTCACGATGCACGAGTATTTAAAAGAAGTCCTCTTTACGACGATCTAATCTTCCGTGGAGCTACCACATGCTTGGAGAGAACTTTTATAGTTGGAGGTACATACTTTTACATTATTGTTAAGGATCTCTCTAATTTTTGATTAATTGGTTATATGGTTTAGATGCAGCGTATCCTGTCTTGCCTCAGCTGCTAACTCCCTATATCGCCTCTCGCGTCAGGCAGTCATCACGCGGGCTCACAGCTAGTCAAAAACTTTACAACAAAATACATTCCACAACAAGACAATTGATTGCAAATGCTTTCTCTGATCTGGTGATGAAATGGAAATTTCTCTTCAAGCATTTGTACTTGAAAGACGTAAACAGATGTTGTAGAGCAATTTTGACATGCTGCGTTTTACACAATTTGTGTATAGATGACGGTGAAATGCTTCACGGCAATGATGGAATGTTGGATGCCTTTCAATTATCCGATAATAATGATGGTGCCGAGTTCACGATCAGTCAGCTATCTGAAAGTGACTTTAGTGAAAGAGAGATGATTACACTTATGCGAGAACTGAAAAGAAAAGCTGAAGAAAGACGTACGGAAGTCCGCAATGAACTTTAATAAACTAATATAATTGAACGTTTATTGTTGATTTGATCTAGATTCGTAGATGTCATTTGCTCTTTTGGCTTCGGCAAGCAAAGCATCATCCCGGGATCTACGATATAACATATCTTCTCGTCTTTCTCTGTCTTGTCGACGCAGCATTTCCATCTCTTCTTGACGGTCTCGTTCCTGTCGACGAATTATCTCCATCTCTTCCTCTTCTCTAGCTCTCTTCAGGGCCCTTTCCTCGTCCGATCCAAGAAGGGCTGCAACAAGTTCCCTAGTTGAATTCTGCAATTCTTCTCTCATCTGCTCATGAAGCTCACGAATGTGTGCCAATGCATCCGTATAATCTACTGGTTCATTTCTATTTGTCGAACCTGTTGCTGATGAACAATGAATTGATGGAGCTGGGGTTGTTTGTCTATCAGCATTATTATTGGAATCAACGTGAGCGCGATCATTTCTGCTGTTCGGGATGTTGGTGCTGTCGATATTGTCGATATTGTCGGTGTTGTCGGTGTTGTCGGTATTGTCGGTGTTGTTGGTGTTGTTGGTGTTGTTGGTGTTGTTGGTGTTGCGGGTTCGGTTAGGGCTGCTGCTGCTGCTGGTATGTGAATCGATCCCTTCTGAAACCACCTCAAACCGAGCCTCTCCTCTTAAACAAATGTTTTCTCGAACTACAAACCCATTTCTCGAAGAAGTGGTAATGCTACCACGTGTAGATGCTGAACCGGAGTTACCGGTGACAGGTGGATTGAAACTGGCATCGTTAATCAATATTGCTTTAAGTGATTCAAAATGAACCCAATTATCAGTGTTACGACTACCCCCACGTCCAGTTTCGCGCGATTGACGATCAGCAAGTGACTTATACTTATTTATCAACTTTCGATAGTTGGATGAGCATTTGTTGCTATCAATTTCGTTTTGAAATTGACGACTACATTGCCTGAACTGAGGATGTTCTTTCAGATCTTCCACGGTTTGCGACCAGATACTACCCTTCAAGGTGTTGTTCTTTCCGGCTCTTCTGATTTTATTATGAACATCCTTTTCTAGAATAACGCTCAGAAGCAATTTAATATGAAACTCTTCCCAATGTAGTAATCCAGCGCTGTTGGTGGTATTACTAGCGCTTGTAGAAGGGATATCCTCGTCATCGTCGCTGCTGAAATTTTCACCCTCTCCATCTTCACCCTCTCCGTCTCCAACCTCACCGACACCTCTCGGCTCTGGATCAGAATCATAATAGCCGTCAAACCCAAAGTCCATTTGTTCTATTTCCTCAACTAAAACATGACGTCTACGTTGGGATTGAGGTTGTTGATTCTCTTGCTGCTGGCGCTCTTGTTGTTGTTGAGGTTGTTGAGGTTGTTGCTGTTGCTGTTGAGGCTGTTGCTGTTGAGGCTGTTGCTGTTGAGGCTGTTGTTGTTGAGGTTGTTGAGGTTGTTGCTGTTGCTGTTGAGGCTGTTGCTATTGAGGCTGTTGCTGTTGAGGCTGTCGAGGCTGTTGTTGAGGCTGTTGTTGTTTCTGTTGTTGTTGCTGTTGAGGCTGTTGTTGTTGTTGCTGTTGTTGGGGCTGTTGAGGCTGTTGTTGAGGTTGTTGAGGCTGTTGTTGTCGCGATTGTTGCTGCTGTTGTTGTTGTTCAGGTTGGGTTCTTCTGAAACTCTGCTCACCGGGTACGTAGGAAAAAAAATTGTCGTTGAACATGGTTTACAGGTACGTTTAGTTAAGTGTAAGTGAAAGTGAAAGAAAAAAATAAGAGATGGAAATTCATATCCAAAATAAATAAAATAAAAACAATCATTTCTGATGTTTCGTGAAATAAGTTTTCCTTTTTGAGAACCGGGTCGAAGTGCAGGACATGGACGAGAGTCGGTCCTGCACTTTTTGGTCGAACGATTTATTTCTAAATTGAGAATCTATAATAGGAAATCAAAATCGTCCGGACGGTAAAAAAACCGTCTGGACGGTCTTGGTGTGAAGGCCTATTAATATAAATGGTTCATTTACTTATATATTGATATAATTATACTGCTGATAAAGAGTATAAAGAAATAGTGTATAAATTAATGGATACCTAGCTTCTACAACGAAATATACAAATATCGACAAGACATTTTATATTTGGGATCGTAATTTATTCGTCACAAAGATATTGAATAAATGCTCAACTATTATGTTCTATTGCCAATTACACTTGACAAACAAGTATGCATCTTTTACAGTAACCGTTGCATGATCTGATAAATAAGTGTCTCGTAATACTAAAGATTTATTAGCATACTCATGTTCCCGATCCACTGATATGGGACAACGTTATCTGGAAACAATTCTAACGAGTAGTATCCATTTAACCCAAGGCGGGAAACAAAGTATAGATCTATTCCAAAACCAGAAAGGTTGACTCATCATTAAAACTCAGGAGATTTGTGCAATATAGAAAGGATCAATTATTTCATAGCAGCAGAGTTCTTTTAGTCTATTTTTACCCCTAATAAAAATATACTTTTATCTCATTACTTTTCTATGTAATATTTTGTCAAATACCACAATGCCCTTATCGGTAAAAAGAAAATTCGGCGCTGACAATGATGCAGTTGAAATTATCAGAAATCAAAAATCAAAAATCTAAGCAGGTAGTTCTTTATCGACTCCTATCAACTCATATCAATCTTTTATATATATATTATCCCAACTTAAATTATTTTTTCATTGCATTATATTTATACATATATCTTAACCAAATATGCTAAAATAAAAACCTTATAATTATTCCCCTTGAGACAGCGCCATAAGCTTTATAAATGTCCATCCTCAATAATTGTAAGTATCATAAATGGTAATGGCAAGCCACTGGTAGAGCATAGTCCACATAAAATCAAACTATTAGCTCTTTGATAACCTTACTAAGAATCCCCGATAACATACAGAGTTAGGAGAAATAGCCCAAGGAATGAACAGGTTCAAAATCCGTAGTATAGTCTCAAAAGATAATCGTCCAAACGCTTTTATCTTTTTTTTTTTTTTTTTTTGGCTGATTTATCCTTAATTTATCATTGTATTCTGTTCGTCCCTTTAATTTGAACGTTTAACTTATTAAGATGAATAACAATTCTAGCAGAAACATCATGTCAACATCCACAAGCGATGATATGGTTAGGGCTGTCTTTAATGAGGTAATTGAACTCAAATCATCAGTTTTGAGATTGGATGAACGGTTTGCTATTCAATTTTCACCTGCACCGAATAAAGAAAATGTAACCAATTTTCACGCTTTCGCAACTGCAGGTACTATTTTTTTTTCAAATTAAGTGATAATTATGTGTAACAAGTGGTCTCTCAAGGTATTGATTCGGTAGCCAAGGAAAGAGAGATGTCCAGAGTTAATGCCCATCCGGATTGTCTTGGTGCCCGATGTATCGTAGCTACCTTGCCAGGGGCAAGGATAGGGTTCCAGCCAACGCGCACCAACAAAACACCTTGCGCTAACGCACGTATTGATGCATTGATTGTCTATCTGTGGAAAAAGAAACACAGTAACTCTTCCGCAGAGATCGGCCATGCAAATTGTAAGGAAATCAGACTGCAGTTTGGGATCATCACTCGCCGCTTACGATATTAAATGATTCAGGAGGGTACAGTTGCCACCAGTTGGGGAAGTCTCTCACCTCAAGGGAGAACATACTATGCCTTGAGACTTGAAAGCGATATCTTCGATTACGGTTATCAGATCTACAAGTGTAACAAGAAATGGGCAGCTAATCTACTCATTCAGGACACAATGAAGGGGCAACGTCAAAGTGAAAGACGAAGGGTAAGCTTACTTTCAACAGTTAAGTGAAACCTTTTAAATCTCACAAATGGACATAAAATTAGTTTGGGGTTTTCCCCGTCGTAGAGGCTCCGGTAGAAGAACTTGAAGCACCAACTGAAGTTAGAAATACCAAACGTAGATAACATTCCTCTAATTTTTTATATAAATTTAAAAACTTTTTAGCTTTGAATTCTGTTTTCTTTTCTTCCTATTTTATTTTATTTTGTCTCTTATAAGGTAGAAATGCTATTGATCTATGGCATGTTCTGCTAAATGGTAAGAAATTTTATTTTACATTTCCCAAACTAATAAAAATCGTTTGTACAGTTACACCAGCATCACAAGCAGACTTAGGCACAACTGCGTAACACTTGCTATAACTGAATCTGTAAACTAGACTTTTGTCAGAATAGATGTGATTATGAGTACTCTTGATTTCTTTTTTTCTTTTTCTTTTTTTTTTGGCATATTAATGTTATTATGTGTTTTAGACCTCACCCCATGTTTTGGCCTTACGCTTTGACTATTGAATCCGCAGGATCTCATTTTCTGTTTAAATATCTTCAGGGGTGCATATGTAATTTTGCACATTTCCTAAATTCCATTCCAGGTTGATAATTATAAAAATGCATTCCAATTCCCAATTTCCGAGGGGCTTTATATTATGGACGAGCATTCCAATCAATACATTCTTTCATTTTCAAATTTTAATTAAATAAAATACGTTGCAGACCTATAATGTGCATCTGATATAATAATTTTTTAAAAAACAATTGGTAGTTTTATCCACCAATTTCTTTAAAATTAGTAGTTTTTTTTCACCAATTTCAAGCATCAATGCATCTAGACACCCCTATTTTGTTTGTTTTTTCAAATAAAGAAGTCCAATCGTTGGTCCTCTATTCCTGTTATGTTTGCGCACGTCATATATTATATCCAATTGGGACATGGGAATATCAGTATTTATTAGCGGAAAAATTACCCTGAGGATAAAAAGTGCCAATTATATTAGTATGTATTTGTCAAATAATGTGAAATAAACACCAACAAAATTGCGGGAATTTGCTCAAAAGGAAGAGAAACTACCAACAATAATAGTGTATTTGTCACTGGTATGATGGAAAAAACTACCAAAAAAATTGGTATCAAAACCCCCGTTTGGTAGTTTCACAAGCTCACATCCACCAATATATTTGGTTATGCGTAGGGTGGAAAAAGCAACAATAAACAGTAAATTGGTGATAAAACTACTATGCTTCCATTTATAGTGATGTATTCTTTCGCCAATAGAGGGTGCAGTTGTAGCTTTTACAACTCGTTTTTTTTAAGGTGATTCTGTCAATGGAAGATCAGTTTGTCAGCTGGCCATCACCTGAAGAAAAGTGGTTATCAAAACCATCAACCAGTCATATCTGGGTTTCCCGGACTGTCTTGGGTTTATCGATGGCAGACATATTTGTTTGGAGGATGCACCTGTTTGGAGACAAAACGAATTTTACAACAGAAAGGCTAGTCACACCATTCAAACAATGGCAATTTGTGACCATAAACGAAGAATCCGGTACGTAGAGACTGGTTACTTTGGAAGTTCCCATGACATGCGTGTACTTGCCAAAAGTGATATGGGAAAAAACCCATCAAAGTATTGTGTTGGAAACGAGTATGTCTTGGGTGACGGAGGATACTCTCCTACAAACTACCTGGTACCTGTGAGCAAGATGCCAATAAATGGAACGACAGCCGACGATGACCAGCAGTTCAATACATACATTTCTCAAATGAGAATTAAAATTGAACATGGTTTTGGGATTCTAAAAGCACGATTCCAAAGCCTTAAGCAACTAAGATTGAAAATTAAGTCAAAAGATGATGTCGTTTATGCCAGTGGATGGATTCGTGTTTGTATTGCTTTGAATAACTTTCTGATCGACCGTGAAAGCGATAGCTTTACCGCTATTTTGGAAAAGCAATTTGCTGAGAAAGAAAGATTGGAACTGCAACAATTAGAAGATGGAGTTCAATCCTCTTCTGATGAAACCAGCAACAATACCGATATCACCGAAAGCGGAAAAGAAAAATATCAAGCAATCAAAACCATTGTTTTGGAGGAGATGAAACAAAGAAAAGAAATGAGAAGACGTAGTAGTTAAAAAAAATATTTATTAATAAAGTTTATGTAATTTAGATATCATCATCATTATTATTATTATCACCGAAAATCTCATTTTGCAACTTTCTGATGGCTTCAGTCAACTCATCAAAGCCCCAATTCTTAGCCAAAGCAAAAGCGTTTAACCCATCCAATCCTATCTTGAGAATGGCGGCACGAGTCTTAGCATCAAAAAAACGATCTGTTAATTTTTGAAATGCTTTTTCTGCATCTTCCCGGATTGCTTTCGTGGCTGTCGAGGAAATCACCGACTTGCTTCTCTTTCTCTTCTTGTCAATAGAAGAAGAAGATTCCTCTTTTTTGAATACTTCTACCTGTTTAAAATCTTCACCCGAAGAATCAATTGCGGAACTGACCTCTTCGTCATCACTTACGATTACCACCGCAGCTCCCCGTGTACCTGAGAAAGGAAGTTGATAAGCAGAGCCATTAGGGTACGCAGACTCGGTATATCAATCACCCATGATCTCCTTGATACGATAATAATGGGGACAAATTTTGTTCAATGCATCTGTTGAAATGAAACGATAATTTTAATATCTCTATGTCGCTGACAATGTATAATGTATATTTTTTGCTTACTTTCGAATTCCTTCTTTTCAAACTCGCCGGTGTTACCCATTGCGCCTTCGCCACTTTGCGTATCCTTCTTATATGCATCACGATAGTTAGACATGATCTTACGAATTCTTGACCGGATACTAGAACTTGTTCGACATAACACATTTCGGTCCAGAAAGTACTTCACATACCGAGAAAGAACAGTCGCTGGAGTCTCACCATCCTTTCCATGGTTGGTCCCATCCTTGTTGAAGGATTTAGTCGATACCAAGTACTTGCGCATATTGATCCCTCCGTCTTTAGAGAGTATATCAATAAGTCTGTCATCTCAGCTAATGTTATCGCTGCAATGCTTATCAATTGCCTCCCAAGGATGGTAATTGGTGACAACAGCTTCGTCCATGACCGCGATTAAGGTCATGCCGGTGTTCTTGGCCTCGGTTTCCTTGCTACCAACCTCATTTGTGACCTTGTCATCCTTGGGCTCTTTTTGGCGGTTACGTGATCCTTTATGCCTACCTCTACCTTTCTTGGCTGTCACCTTAGTGGTAGTCTCCTTGGGCTTCTCATTGTCATTGATTTCGCAAACGGTAATGACTTTTTTGCCTTTACCTTTGTCACCTGAGACACCAATTGTATTTTCAGAGTATTGTTGCATGTTATCAGAGTTCATTTTAAGTTTATTGTTATAAAAAATGTATAAGCAGTGGCCTCAAAATTGTTCACAAGTTAATAAGCTTTATATAAGAAGTCAAAATAAAGTTTGTCAGGCACAGACTGATGTCATATTTACGTCATTGATGAAGCATTAAAACTCAAAATATATTTTGGGGTCCTCATTCGTAAAAATGTAATTATATTTATGATTGGCTAATTATTTTTATTCAAAAAATATTATTTTTTAAAACCTCGACGACTGAGGACCCCTACTATTTTAAATATTAAACTACTTGTGTGACCGAAGCCACGACAGTGTCGTGGGACTTTTGGTATGTAACAGCCAAATATATAAAAGTATTATTTAGAGGATCAAAGATGATTTTATTATGGTTGACAAAAAAGCCTATTTTAAATATCAACATATTTGTGTGACCTAAGTCACGACAACAGTCGCCTTTCGACAGCCAAAAATTTTAAAAAAAATTCTCTCCGACTGGGAATTGAACCCAGGTCTCCCGCGTGACAGGCGGGGATACTCACCACTATACTATCGAAGAGAGAAGATAGTTTTACCGCGCGTTAAAAATGCACTTTCTTATACACTTGTTTTTCGACTAAGCCACCCGTTAAAATCAGCGATAAAATCAGTTTGACCAGAAAAGGAACTAATTAAAAAACAAGTCGGGCCGTAGATATCACCTGCACAAGCAAAGCATGTCACAAGACCCTACGCCCAACATTCAGGAGGTTACGATAGGTATCCCTTATTTATCGCCAACCTTAAATGAAACAACAACAGTTAACAGAAGCACCAGAAAAAATAATAAGAATCAACAAAAAAATGTGAAAACAACAGAAACATAACACAAAAAAATACGCCATCAACCGCTTTAGGTATCATGGATATAGAACAAGATAACCAAAAACCAAACAGCGATGCAACAGGGAAAAAAAGGAGTGCACCGATCTCCCCTGGAATAGGAACAAATGAAGCATTGGATACAATATATTTAACAAACAAAGAGCATCTAAACGAACAACAAATAGAATTCATCATCAAATTCAATAAACATCAGAAACAAATTGAATGCAACAAATGTAAAGGGGCATGGATAAACATAAACCGAATTGATTACATTGAAATTGGAGAAAAAGGATATGCAGAAATAGTACTATCCTGCAAAAAATGCACAAAAAAATACACAATGGACGAGGCACAGGAGTTGACATTAAAAGTAACAAAAGAAAAAAAAAGACAGATAGATGATACAAGAACAACAGGGAAGGACAAAAAAAAAGGAGGGGAACTAAAATTCACAGCAGATGTAGAAGCCATTATGGAACAGTATGAATTAGCTAGAGAAAAAATAGCATGCAACAAATGTGGAACAATTGGAACTATACAAAAAAATGGAAGAAACCAAGGAAAACCACCAAAGCCACAATACAAATGCAAACACTGCGAAAAAGGAACAACGTTTGCGGAGATGAAAACTATTTTAAAATATGAAACAAGAATAACAAACAAGGAACAGATGGAAATAGATACAGAAGATAAAAGTGAATTTGAAGATGACAACGAAAATGATATTTCAGATATTACAGACACAGAGATGGAAGAAGAGGATGAATCAACAGGAGAAGTAAATGTCTGGAACGAAATGAAGCTGTTAAAGAAAAGATTAGAAAAAAACAGAAAAAGAAACAAAAAAAATGCAGGAGCTGATTAGGGAGAACATCAACCTGAAAAAAGAAAATATTGAACTAAAAAAGAAACTGCGAGAAATGGAAGAAGAAAATGAGGCAGAAGAGTACAAGGAAACAAATAATAACAACATCAAATATCAAGCAGAAAAAATAAACCAAAGTAACAACCAGAACAGTAACATGAACTCACAAAACGAGTTCCCATACTTAAAAGCAACGAAAAGCAATATAGCACAACAACAAATCAACAACAACAACAACAACAACAATTGGACCAAAAAAAGAAAAAATCAATTTTTCGACAAAACAACCCAACCAAGAAACAATTGGAAATAGCAACAAGAACATTCGAGGAAAAAAAAGAGGAAAACAACTTTATAAACATACTAATACCATGCAAAAGACGAATGAAACCATCCGAAATTAGAAAAAAATTAGCCTTCGTAGGAATCGACAATATTCAAGTACTTGATACATACTGTCCAGATTGGGATACAGTACTACTATTAATACACGAAAAATATAAAGACACAGCAGAAAAGAAATTAGAACAGGCGGGTATATTCACAAAGGAATATAACTACCTACATATTTCACATTTAAGAGACAACAAACTAGCAGGACTATCGACAGAAGAAAAAATAGCAAAACTGGAGCAAATTAGGAACAACTGTTCAATGAGAGCATTAGAATTTATTAGAGAGCCGGTAAAAAAATCAGTAGCAAGATGCTTTTACCGCCAAAATATTATTACCGAAGACCAACTGAAACAAATATTGACAGGAAGAAATATGAACGAAGCAATGGACATTTTTCAGGAACCAGCAACAAAAGAACAACCAATCGGAGGTAATCCAGAAGGATCTCAAAAAACACCAGCAACACATTAAAATTGATTATTCAATCAGCGAAATTAAACCCTGAAGATCACCTGTCAAAATAACAACAAATTCATGCAACATTCTCCCTTTCCCAGTTTTAACTTTTTTCCTTCATCACATATGAACTTTTTTAGACACACCTTTACTTTATTTTATTTTTTACTATATTTTCATTATTTAAAACGAAACATAAGAGGGAGTAACTAGTACTCATCATCCTCACCAATAAACACTTAAGTTATACTATCGAAGAGGGGCTTTGCTTGAAATGAATCTGATTGTCTTTATGTTTATCTTGTATAGAGTAATAAGAATAAACAAATGTATAGAATAACAAGAAGGAGACTGTAAGACTAATTGTTAAAGAATACAGACAAAAAGATATAGATTTGCACTAGTAAGCTTTGAAATCTGCAAAGAAGTAAAGATAAATCACAAGTGTTTAAAAACAAGTAAAGTTTATCAGAAAGAAAGAATTCGGTGACGTTTATTATTATAAATCAGACAATCTTATATAGACGTTTTGACAGCTGTCAACTATGGTACAAAAATAACTAATACGAAAATGGAATAAAATAATAAAGGGGTACGGAAAAACTATGATGAGAACAATACAAAAATAGAGTAAATAAAATAAGGGTACGGGAAAACTATGATGGAAATAATATGAATAATAAGAAAATAAAAGAACTAAACAAAACAGGAAGGTAATAATAAAATAAGTGAGATACGAGAGAGAGCGACGAAATAACAGTAAAAATAATTGTAACTGAGAAAGAAGAGAATTTCACGAGTAACCGACTAAGATAATTAACAACCTGCCAATTTTAGAAAAGCAGCAAAAAGACGCGAACTGAACCTTCGGAGAAAGAATACCAGAAAAACTTCTAGAACACCAAAAATAGTTTCACCGCAATATTATTTGTCGGGTCTTTATCACGTATTTTTAGAAACTCTTTTCTCACCGCCAAACTCAGTACCTAGATCTCCATTTCTCAGACAAGATTAACGCGCCATTCCACAAATGAGGGAACCAGAACCAAGAAACAAAGAAGAATAACCAAAATAATATTACCAAGCCACTTTTAAAGTGAACGAAAGCGATATTATTACCAAACTGCGCACGCATCAGAAAGGTTCGGTTTCTTGGTGTAGGTTAAGAGTTTTATTAAAATTACAATACGAGATAGCAAGAGTAATATTCGGGTAAGGTGCTATGTCTAGGACGTGCGTAAGTACTAATTACTTCCCCCATTGTTGTTGTTGTAGCAGTTGAATCAAAAAAATGTCATGTTTTGACAATAAAAGTAGTAGAAAATTAAAATTAAAAGTGGGTTGGGCTGTCAAAAAGATGACGGAAAAGGAAATTGCGGGGTAGTGAGCTGTCAAATTAAGGTTTTTATCCCAAAATTGATGGTAGTGCTGAGTTCGACCTGGAATAAATCCAGTCTATGAATGGTTGGTTGTTGGAAGAGTCGGGATTAATGATCTCATCTGGGGGAAGGCAGATGGATTCAAGTTGGAAAAGGAAATCAGAGAGCACGATCCAGCGTGTCTTGAGGAAAAATTTGTAGGCGGAAGATTTTGGTGGTGTGGAAGGGAGTTTGTTGAGGAATGAGTCAATGTACATGTTTAGATTAGCATCTATTTGGAAACATTCGTTGACATGAGATCGTGTTGTGAGCGCATTAATTCGGTTGCAGTTGGTACAAGGTTTAGGTTTTCCAGGGAGCCAGCCCATTTGCCATCGTAACAATCTGCTTCTTTCAAAAATAGTCATGGGTATATACATAATTGGGTCGTTACCTATTATCGGTCTGCATTTTCCAAGCAAAACAAATTTGGATTGTTTGAGGTGTAGTTGGGAGAGAAGGTAAGATTTGATTTTGCGATCGAGTGTCTCGATAGGTACATCGACGCGTCGGTTTGAGCGGGGTAAGGAAAGTGGGGTGATAATTTGTTGCCAAATGGTGTTTTTTTGCTGCGGCTTTTTCCAATAATAGGTTTGGGCATGCAGGAGTTGTTCGATAAATAGGGAGAGTAGTGATTCGTGAGGGAGAAGATGGGTGCGCCTAACGTTTTTTGCACATAAAATAACCATACGATCCGCCATATCGGGAATCTTGTTCATGTGTTTAATGACATGCGTTGAAGAGGTACGAGGACCATTGACTATTAGACGGCATGCATTGTCTTGTGCTGTTTCTAAAATTTTAAATACCTGTTTGGTAGGGGTGAGTAGTGGGAGACCATATTCGAAAATAGGTCTAATGAAGCATTTGTAAAATTTAAACGAAAGAAATTTATCAAACCCAGTTGCATTTGCACCAAGAGATGATAATATTTTCATAGCTTGGGTTCCTTTGGTAGCGTTGTGGTGGATCATAGTTTTGTTGTCAATTCCAGTACTGTTGAAGTAGACACCGAGGTATTTGAAACTACTAACAACTGGGATTTGCTGGTCATATAGGGTGAAAGGGGGAATTGTTGGGGCATATCGGGATTTATGTGGTGGGTGGATGATGGCGGATTTGAGAGGGTTCCGACGATAGCAAAGAGAAAAGGAATGAGATTGGCATATATCGAGAAGTTTTTGGGTACTTGATGCTGAGCCTAAGAGGACAACATCATCGGCGAAGAGGAGAGAATTAATGGTGATGGAGCTAGAGGAAGGGTTAGAAGTAATGGGGTCAATCGGTTTAACATGAGCATAGGTAAGTTTGTCAGAGGTGTCAATATCACGCAGAGCGGATGCAAGTGAATTAATGTAAATAGAATACAGATGAGGGGAGAGCGTGGAGCCTTGCAATACACCAGTGACGGGATTGAAGGGTGATGTGGAAGTGATACCTTTTAAAAGAACTTGGATTTGGACATGGTTAAACATGAGTTGTAGCATAGTAAGGAGAGGAGAGGAGATTTGGTCATTATTGTTTTGTAAAGCTTTCCAGATTATGTCACGATCGACAGTGTCATAGGCGCTTTTGATATCTAAAAATGTTAGTACCGGGTATTTACCATTTTTCTTTTTATAATAAATCATAAGTTCTTGGAGGCATAAGGCTTGATCTAAGGTGCTGCGGGAATGACGAAATCCACCTTGGATGGGATCAAGAGGAATGGAGTCGGGTATAAGCACGTGTGATAAACAAACTTCGAGGATCTTCCGGAAGACACAAATCAAACTGATTGGCCGGTAATTGATAGGGTCGTTGGGGTCACCTTTTTGTTTGTGGATTGGTATGACTTGAGCAATATTCCAGGCGGAGGGTATAATGGCGAATTGCCAGCAGAGAGAAAAAAATGTATACAGAATAGGGGATATGATGTCTGAAATGGGTTTTAGCATTTCTGCCTTGATGTGGTCGTGTCCAGGCGCTTTATTATTCGGTAGTGAACTAATAGTATCAGCGATGGACTCGATGTTGAAGGGAATTCCAATGTCGAAACCTTCGTCAGGAGGGGGGTATATAATATGTATTTTTTCGTTTTCTAAATTTAAATTGTTACCGCTAAAAACGGTTTGCCATGTTGAAGTGATATGGTCAACAGCTGCTTGAGGTCCATCAATATGTTGAAGAGTACTCGTCATGATCGATTTTCCTCTTCTAATACTTCTGATTTTGTTTGCGGCTTTGCTGAATTCATTGGTGGCTAATTTATCACAGAATTGTCGAAAATATTTGTTGCGTAATGATTGGATAAGACGTCGTACAACTTCAGCAGCTTCTTGGAGTTGATCCCAGTAAAGCGCTTTATTGATGTTGCGTGCTCGATGCCATTTTTTGTATATTTTTTCCCGTTTTTTTGTTGCATCCTCCAGATCCTGTGTCCAGAACCATTTCCAATCACGGTCACGAGGTTCTTTCTTGCCAATAGAAGAATCTAATGGATCATAAATGATGGATGTTAATTCCACATGCATATCGTCTAGATATTGTTGCTGTTCTGATGCACTAAAATCTTGAAAAAGAATTGGGTCTAATTTTTCTTGCAAGGATTGTAGTGGGGATGAGATGCAGCGGCGGTATTTACGAATGGGTCTGATATGGCATTTTTTGGGGGATGCTTTAAATTTATGAATATTCCAAAGTTGGCGTGGATGGGGTATAGATGCAGTTGGTGGATTAAAATCATGAGTGAATGAGAAATATACAAGTTTGTGGTCAGAGTTTAGATGAAGGTCGTCTCGAATTTCCATATACGGTGTAACGGTAAGATCATCGTTGGATGTAATAAAAAAATCGATAATGCTAGAACCTGTGTTGTTAATGAATGTATGTTTACCGTATGCAAGGTCAATGTTTTGGATGGTAAGGCCATGATGGGTGATGAAATTAAAGAAGGGAATGGAACTAGAGTTAGTAGTATTGTTTTTTTCTCCAGTGATGTTACCTAATCTGGCGTTAAAATCACCAAGAAGGATGATATTTTGATTTCGATATTGTTTATGAAAGGGGCAATAGCCTCTTCCATTAAATCAATAGCAAGATCATCATCCATGGATGGTGGGAGATAAAAGCATAAAAGGACATAATGTTGAATTTGGCAGGCATAAAAGAATTTGGAGGTGAAGGGAAAGGTAACGACGGAGTAAGGGAATGAAGGGCTAGTAAGGAGTGAGATACCGTATTCGCCAGAGTGACGATCTTATACTTTGGATCCATATAAATGTGATTGGTGCCATGAGTTGGGTATAGTGAGTGATGCTGGAGATAAGAGCCAGGTCTCGGTGATGAAAAGTAAATGAGTGTCAGGATGAATATTATGCATAAGGTGATCAATGGATCCAGAGCGGATACCACCAGCGTTAAATAAGGAAATATTAAGTGTGTTTGTATCACTCATTATAATAAAGGAGAGGAGGGGGTTGGTGCTTCAAAACCGGACTGCTGATTGTGGTTGTGGCTTTGTGAAGTGGTAAAACCGTCAACGCCTTTATTATTACGACACTCTTTCAAAGTTTTTTTCAACTCATCGAGTGTAAGGTGACCATTACGGTATAATGACTTGGCTACAGAATAGTTAACAGGGTAACGAATATTTTTTATGCGGTTGATGAGGTAGTTAGTACGAATTTCTTTTAATTTTTGTACCTTTTCCTCATTAGTCAATGAAGCTAAACGAGAATCACGAAGATGGACTGGATCGGTAAAATCGTAGTCGAGTGTTTCCACACGAGCAGAACGAAACTTGGAACGCAATTCATCGACATAGTTTTCATGCACGAGGAATTCAGCAACATTGTAGTAAGGACAGTGAGCGTCAATGACTCGGACATTGTCTGCACCCAAAAGAGTGAGACGTTGTCTTAATTCACTGGGTTTCAGACGGCGGTTGCAAGGAAAGTGAACAAATTGATAGTCGGGTGGGTTGGTAAGGATGCTATCATCAAAAGCTTTTGAGGCAATTTCAAGCTGTTCGGGTGTAGGTGTGTTGAATCGGTAAGTTTGGTGTGCCATTTTTTTCTTGATAAATTTAGTTTGGACTTTTGGGGTAGAGGCTTTGGAAGCATACGATACAGGAGGAGGAAGGTTAGCTTGTAGAACAGAGGCTTCAGGGAAGTGAATATTGTACAGCTCGTTAGAGTCTAAATTGCTGTTGGAAGGGGTAGAGGTGTTAGTGTTAGTATATGATATGTTATTTTTTTTGTTTAAGTAAATTTTTTCTTTTTTTTGTTCTTTTTGGTTATTATTTTTTTCATTTTTTTGGTGTTCAATTGAATCTTTTTGGCTTTTGTGGATTGAATCAATCATCCTTTCCTTTTCTTTTTTGTATTGGTCAGTTAATTTGCTGAGGTGGTCTATTTCCCGTTTTTGAACAATGATTTCGCGCTGGAGACGCTTGTTTTGATCCATGTGTCATGAACCGCTTAGGTTTCAGTTGTATATTATCATGCAAAATGTCTCAGATCATTATTGAAACCCAACTAGCCCATTGTCCCTGTTCCACCTGTTCCACATGTTCCCTGTTCTATGTCTCCTGTCACACATGTCACTGTCAAACATCACTATTGTATCCTGTCTAACGTCTCTGTTCCAAATAATGTATCTCCGTTATCCCTTGTCCTTGTCAAACCCATTTAACACCCGTTTCCTTTGTACCTCTGCCTTTGAACTCCCTTGTAAAACATTAATAATATCAGCCCATGTTATCCTCTGCATCTATCCCCGAAATTATCTGTATCTATGCCCGCTTCCCCAAAGATGTCCCAAACTCAATATGACTAATAATCTGTCTCTGTATATCTGATCCCCGAACCCTTGTTTACCCGACCTGTCAATTAATATAAATAACAGCATGTTTATTTATTCTTATTTCTGTATTCAAGATCTTATCTATTTTTCCTGTTTCTTTGAATAAACCTTTTTTCTACCTACATTCCTTTATATATATATTAGTACTAATAGATATATAATTTCTCTTTGCCTTGTCCCTCACCTTAATAATCATTCTGTTCTGCTCTTGCCCCGCCCCGCTCCTGACACCATGAGTCCACTAAAGTTTACAAATTGCTCATCATGTCTAGATAATTGTTGTTTCATTTCATTGATTGTTTCAATTAAATCTTTGATGATGTTGTTGTTGTTTTGCGTGGTGGGAATATCTGTGCTGGTGGAGAAGGTTGAGAGCGTGGGTAGTACAAGGCTATCTTGCATAAGATCGTCCTCATCCAGTCCTAAATCCAATTCAATCTGTTCAAATTCAATTTCATCGTCTTCAACAAGAGGTAGACTTGATTGCGATGTTTCGGGTAGTTCATACGCGTCCATGAGGATACGTATTTGGTCGGTGCTATATGTTTTTCCACACTTACAGATAAAAATGGGGCGTGGTGGTACGCTTTTGTTGTGTCCATTTTTATTAATGGTTCCAGTTTTATTGCACGTGGTACAGGTAAGAAGGTGTCGAATGGTGTGGTAGTTGGATAGTAAAAGCTTATCGCCTTCACTAATCAATGATTCATTTGTACCTGTTAAAGCAGGTACGATGGTAATTCTGCGGTCAGTAGTATCCGTTTTTGTTTTTTTGTTTTTTTTCAGGAGAGATATTTGTGTGCTAATGACATATTGTGATACCTCGAGCTTACACACGTTACAGGTAAAAATGGCCTCGTTTTGTTGAACATTAGTAACAGTAACACAGCTGGAATTGTTACATTGGATGCATTTGATGACAGAGCGATGATTGCGAAAATCAGCTAATAATTCAGTGGTGGCAGTGGCAGTTGATTTTAATTTGAAAACAGTGGCGGCGAGAGATGATGAGGTTGAAGTAGGGCTGTGCTTACGCTTATTGCTGACTGGAGAGGAAACACTGGGTTGCATGCTGGGACGAGCCAAGACGAGCGCGAGGGATTGACCTGTTTTGGGAGTAGTAGTAGCTTCTTTTTCTATTTTTTTGTTATCTTTTGTTTTTTTTGTATTTTTTTCTGTGTCTTTTTTGGTTTTTTGTGCACTAGATGTACTGATACTCATGCAGGTGTCGCCTTTTGCAGGTGCTTGTTGTCCTAATGGGGAAGGTTTTCCGTGTAAAGGGGGAACCTCGATGGGAATTCCATTACTCATCTTAATTAATAAAAATGAGAAAAAATGGGGGATTTTCAAGTTTTGGAGAGTTTAATATGGCTGTAGAGAGCGTAATTTAACAGAACAAGAAGTGAGATTTCGTATATAGAATAAGGAGATAAAGGGCTTTTCAAACATGCAATAACAACTTTTTGAAAAAATGTTTAAGTGAAAGTATCAGTCTTGTAATAGGTTTAATAGGGTTAAGATTCAACTCTCAGTGGTTAATCAGTTAATAAGTAGATATATACTTAAGATATATAAAATAGAAGATAATGTTTATTTGATACAAAGCTAGGAGCTATTTATACTAGTTTGGGGAATATATAGAATGTGATAATAATGTGATAATATAATGTTGATATGTATGGTGATAATATAATAAAAGTATGGTGATAGATATAAAGATTGATTGTGATAAATATAAGTAATCAGGTTATTGAATGTAGAAGTAGTGTTGTGATATTTATAATAAAGTGGTGTTACTTCTTTGGCCGTTTTCTATTGGCATTGGTTATCTTGGGTACAAACTTCCTTTTTAGAAGTTTAGCTTTCTTTAATCGTAATTGGATCTCCAGAGGCATTTCAACGTCCATGGTAGAGTCCGGGTCGGGTTCAAGAGTCCGGGTCGGAATGTGGCTTAGAGAAGCATCAGAACCATCGACAATTGTGGGCTTGACAAAAGTATCAGTCTTGTAATTGAAAAATCCAAAAATCCAAAATAGAAAATAAGACAAAGTATTAACCAGATTGCAAAAAGGAACTAAATTTTATTGAACATAAAAATAATGATTTCTTTTATACATAATGAATACAACTAAAACTACAAGCGGGACCCTGCCATCGTGGGTAGATTATATCCAAATATTGTTCAAGCTGTCAATAAACCCGCAAGGAGCAGTAAGGAGAATATAATAAACAACCCGTACTTGAATAGGCATTTGGTGTTACGTGAACTCTGAAATTACCAGCTGACATATGATAAATATGACAGCAGTGAGAATACTTCAATCGTCGTAGCACAAGCGTATTACCTTAGCTAAGGTGTATTCACAGCTCGCATACAACAGTAATAGGTTTAATAGGGTTAAGATTCAACTCTTAGTGGTTAATCAGTTAATAAGTAGATATATACTTAAAATAAATAAAATAGAAGATAATGTTTATTTGATACAAAGCTAGGAGCTATTTATACTAGTTTGGGGAATATATAGAATGTGATAATAATGTGATAATATGATGTTGATATGTATGGTGATAATATAATAAAAGTATGGTGATAGATATAAAGATTGATTGTGATAAATATAAGTAATCAGGTTATTGAATGTAGAAGTAGTGTTGTGATATTTATAATAAAGTGGTGTTACTTCTTTGGCCGTTTTCTATTGGCATTGGTTATCTTGGGTACAAACTTCCTTTTTAGAAGTTTAGCTTTCTTTAATCGTAATTCGATCTCCAGAGGCATTTCAACGTCCATGGTAGAGTCCGGGTCGGGCTCAAGAGTCCGGGTCGAAATGTGGCTTAAAGAAGCATTAGAACCATCGGCAATTGTGGGCTTGACAAAAGTGATAAGGATCTGTCTGTCTTTTATGTTTACCTTGTGTAGAGTACGAGAATAAACAATATATAAAGTGATGGTTCAAGGAGACTGTAAAGACTTGATATCAGATTATACAAACAGAGAGAAGGGGTTAAAATGCACTAGTAAGCAATGGAAAGCTGCCAAAGAAGTTATGTATCAAAAATAATAGAATATAAAAAATATAAACTAGGAAAAAGATAACGTTTATTCACTGTCAATAAAATAAGCTTTTATAGCTGTCAAAAAAATATACACAAAAATATAAATACAAGATCAGATCAACCATTGTCAAACAAATAAATCATAAGTTAAAAATACGGATAAAATAAATGAAAGTATAAAATAAAATAAGGGAATGAAAATAAATCAGATGTCAAAAATTCAAATAATAACATCCAAGAAATATTCAATACGACAATAACTCCTCTTTTAACTGCGACGACTAGCAAAAACCAATTCTCTGGATTTATCAAAATTAGAAGATGGATTTCTCAAATTTGAAGTGACTTCTAGAAAATTCATTCGGACTTTTAACACCAGATCTTCCAAGCGCAACAACAACAAGAAAAACAATTTATTCCTTAGACACCGCTGAACTTCTTCCTCGCTCATTTCGACATTAACCTTCATAACACCTTCCAAAATCTTTAACAACTCTTCTCCTACTTCTTTACAATATATACTGTAAACCAAACACGTGAAAGTCACGTGTTTTATGACTTCAAGCGAAACACAAGACCAAAATACGACCGTATCAAGTACCCCCCGCCGAGCTTGAAGTCCCACCTTTCAAAATGAAAGGTCAACAAAGCCAAAAGTATTAACACGAGAGTTCAACCACGACTGCAATTGTTCATTTGCCTTTGACACACCGACCTGTGGCACCATATGCTGAACCTCCTTGTTATACGCCTTTAATAAGTCGCCATTCACTGCATGCTTCAACCTTAGACTATTCTTCCCAGTCAACCGGTAAGTACCATTTTGATTCACCTTCATAACAGTATACGGTCCTAACCACTTATCAGAAAACTTAGTCGTTGGGACTACATCCTTCAACAAAACTTGATCACCAATATCAAACTTTTTACGAAAAACGACACGCCCATCATAACGCTCCTTAGCCTTCTTCTTTCGCTCATCTGACCTTAACCGCGCAATTTCACGAACTTGAGCCAATTTTTCTTCAACCAGAATAATTCTTTCACGCAATTCCTCCTCTTCTTCGCCAATGACAAAATCAATGCGTGGAGCCACCCAAACAGCAGGAGTTCTCATTTCATACCCAAACAACATATAACTGGGAGTATAGCCAGTAGCAGAGTTCTTGGAAGTACGAATCACCATTAACGCCATGTCTACATACTTATCCCACTCAGCCGTATTTTCTCGATCTCTAGCAATCTTCGCTAACACCGAAACCAGAGTATAGTTCAAACGTTCACACATACCATTACATTGAGGTCTATAGCTCGTCGTCATTATATTCCTACACCCAAGCTGTTTCAAAAATTCATGAACGTAAGTAGATATGAAATTCTGACCTCTGTCAGAAAGAATCCAACGTGGAACACCCCAATCCTTAACAATACTAAATAGAAATTCCCCCGTTGTTACTTCATTTATATCGGGTACAGCAACTGCAACAGGCCACCTCGTCAAGTAATCAATACCAGTCAAAATATACTTGTTTCCACGCGTAGTAGATTGAAGAGGACCAATAGCATCAATACCAACCAAAACAAACGGATCCTTAGTAGTTTTGAATATGACACCCGGATTTGTACGAACATTCTTGATACGAGCACGAAATTGACAAGTATCACACGATTTAACCACAGACTCGACTAATTTACGACCATCATGCATCAAAAAATTCTTTACCACCTTATCCAACGTATTTGAGATTCCCAAATGACCTTCTTGATGTATGTCAGTTATTTTCTGTAAGGCGTTACCTTCATGTAACAACTCTCTTCCAGTTTTCTTTTCAATCAATACACCATCATCACCGATCATCAACAAATTTGCACGATAACGGATTCTTCGAGAAATATCCTTGGTAGCATCTTGCGGGTAGGACCCATCAGTCAGAAAATACAATAAAGCCAAATACCACGGTAAAGAGATTAACCCCATCACGACGAATACAGAAATACAATTAAACAACACCAATTTAAAGGGAGCTTTAATCCAGACTAGAAAATGAGAATATCTAGACAACTTGAGGGATGGATAATTTAAGGGAAAGGATCCAAAGTAAGAAGGCAAAGTGAATATAATATTTTAAAGAGAAGAATAAAGATAAATTTTATTTTAAATAAAAAATGAGAACTATTTATACAATCTTAAATTATAAGATTCATTTCCAATTTTGATCGTGCCATTATTTTTTTTGTCAAAAATAATCAGACCACACAATGTTTTGACACATTATACTATCTTAATAATATCATCAAGATTACCAATCTCGAGATCCACAATTTTTCTTGACAAAGGATCTGCCGGATTTTGCTTCCCAGGACGATACCGGATCTCAAAATCATAATCCATCAAACACGCCGCCCATCTTGATAACTTGGGAGTACCCTTCGGATTAGCAAACACGTAGATCAGGGAGCTATGATCTGTAATCAGGATAAACTTCTTGCCCTTTAGCCAATGCTTGAAATATTTAACACCACAAACAACACTCAACGCTTCCAAATGGTGAATCGAGAACCTTGTTTCACTTCCATGAAGACCACGAGAACCATACGATAAAACTTGCTCATTTCCCAGA